GTTTGCGGAGCCGCCGGCTGCGTCCGAGCCCCCCGGCGAGAGTCGGATGGTTTTTCTTGGGCTAGAAAAGTGGGGGGTTTCAGATGGCATTGTTCTTTCTCTAACTGTGATACCGCGCTGCTTTGATGTAAAATGTGCAATTTGTACAGAGTTGTATTTAACAAGATTTAAAGTAACTTAAGTTTGCTTTATCAGAGCTAATTCTGCACGGGGGTTGAGGGGGAAGAGGCAGCTGCGACATGGTGTCGTGACGTGGGTGTTCATTTTTTCCGTATATCATAATCCGATACTGTGCTGGCAGCAGGTCTGTTTAAACTTCGTTTTGCTGTTATTGTGACTCATTTCCTTTCCTTTAATAAGGAGAACTAAAAACATTTTTACCTTTTTCCCCTGGAAGAAGTGAATTACTTGAAGCATGAAAAGCACAACAGGGTGATTGTTTATTTAGCAATCATGACTGCTGATTTCAAAACCGAGAAGCATATGAAGTGGGGGTCGGGCATCCCGGTCCCATGGCTGCAGGGGAGCCCCTGCCCTAGGCCTGAGGGAGTGGCCTTTGGGGACTTGCCCTGCGCTGCCACCTCCCCACCTCAGGACTGGCCGGTGCTCAGCAGTCTTCATATGCCAGTCCCCCCTCAAACTGCAAAGCCAAATGCTCTCGATGCATTGAAGGTGGCACAGCAACTGCAGTCTGAATTGCTGTGTCAGATGGGTGTTTTGTGGCTCACATTAAAAACATTGCTGAGGTCCGATGCCTACACTTTTCATAACTTTCTTCAGAAATAGCACATTTTAGTGACTTCCATTGTCCTCTGAAGAACAAAAGTGGTTTGAAATGTGTTCATACAAAACTGACTGAGGCCAAGTCTAAATAGAACTTTTCTACTAAGATAGTTGGGAACTGAACTGATTTTGCAAGAAATCATTTTCCCCTCAGGTATGTGTCTAATTCTTGAATAGCGCTGCCCTCAGCTGTACCTCATGTTCAGTAGTTTTTTTATCTGTTTGCTTTGTGAGTTAACTGTGGATGGGGTTAACCTCTTCTGCCAAAGAGGAAAGTGTGTGTGTGTGTTTTTAATAGAAAATATGAACCAAAAAATCCTTTCCCTGAAAAATGAATTATAACTATTTGATGGTTATCACTTTCTGTGAAATGTATATATGTTAAAACAGTGAGGGTGCTGGAATGTCATGGCAGACTATTTGTCATTTAGTGTGGAGGGTATGATTAGTGTGTAAGATAAACCATTTATTTTGTGGAGTTTACATGGTTTTATGTGCATACTAATTGTAATAAACTATGCCAAATCAAAGTGCCCTGAGTCTTTGGTGTCCTGCTTGCTGGGCTATAGGAAGCACTCAAGGCTCAACCTTGATAAAAGGACAAGGATAGCTAGTAAGACCAACAGCGTGGAGTTAGATCATTCTTGATTCCAGACCTTGCTTTGCCACAAAGTAGGTGAGAAATTGTTGGCTAGTTACATAAAACTGAGCCTCAGTTTCATGTTTGAAAATGGTGTTATCCCACCGTCTTCCTCCAAAGCTCTTATAAGATTTAATAGCAACATTTCTCAAAGTGTTTACAATAGGCCTTTTTTTCTAACGCAGACCTTCAGTAGACTGTTTACAGCATTCTAACATCCGAATATAAGTCCATAGTAAAATATTAATCCAAGTATATACATGCATCTACACCTCTTCTTTACAATAGTGTTGTCTTTATCCATCACATTTCTTCCTCATACTAGTGATCTAATCATGACAAGACAGGGAAAACAGGACTTTGTCTTTGGATCAGCACTCCGTCAAGGCAGGCTCACTGTAGAACAGGGTGTATAAGTGGGAAGGTCTGATAAACCCTACACAACTAAGCCTTATCTAGTGGAAACAGAAAAATATGTCTTTCTCTTGGTGCTTTGCAACATTAGCACTTATGATAATGAGGCATGAATGAGACAATTCTAATTGGTTTCTTCTGTGTTATCAAATCCTACTGGGAGGCAGAGGTTCTGTTATTTCTTACAATAGTGACTGAAACACATTTGCTCTGACGGGCAAAGCTGTACTGACCATAGAAACATGAAACTTTGCTCTGCGTTTTCTTATTGTTATTTAAATGTTCATTAACATTTATAATCAGCTTAGGAGATGCCTAGAAAGGATGTCAGAGGTCATTCTATGTTTATTTTACACTCCTTTGGATTCTTAGCAGAACATGAAATCACATTTATAGGTAACACTATAGCTACCGTGAATAGCTACAAGGCCTTCCCTTGCTCTGACCAATCACAGCAGTCCAATTGTGGCCTCTAGGTTGGCCTCACTATTCCTAAAATTCTCATGTTGATTTCATTCATGCACCAAATAGTTCTTAGAGCAATGATTACCCTGTACTTAACTTGAGTTAAAAGAGAGCATGCCTAGTCTCATGGAAGCTAGGGTTGGATATAATCACTCACCCCAACCTGCTAATATTTCCTGCCTCAAGTGCAGGCCATGCAGTTATCTAGTGCCACTTTGCACACCTATACTCTGTGTTCACAGCTCACTACAGATATCTCATCTCCCATTACTGATTTTGATCTCAGCTGTTCCCTATTCTGGGAATAAATTTCCCTAAAACCTTTAAAGATCTTTACTGTGTCTTTGGTATTCTGCAGTTTTATTACTGTGTGTTCAGCTATATGAATTAATTTGGACTTGGGACTTTTGCTTCTTAAATCTTAGGATTTATCTTTACCAAATATAAAAATCTTCAGCTTTTTTTTTTCCTACATTTTTCCTGGAATTCCTATCTGATACTCATTTAAGCTTCTCATTCTATCCCTCATGTCGTGTCTCTTAATCCCTTGTATTGTTCATCTCTTTATCTTTCTGTGCTGCATTCTGGGTAAATTCCTGAAAGACAATATGACATAGTGGTTGAGTGCACAGACTTCAGATTGCCTGAATAAGAAGCTGTAACCTCTAAGTGCCAGTTTTCTTGCTTGTGGGGAAAACAGTACTATCTACCTGCTTGTGGCTGGTTGTGAAGATTAAATGAAACTTTCAGAGCAAGGTCTACTCTCTGTATAAGATTAAATACTATAGTCTAGTTCTCTAATTCCTCATTCTGTTATCTAATCTGCTGTTTAATTTAGCCATTGAAGCTTTCATTTCTTTTTGTGTTTTTAAAAAATTTTTACAAGTTCTGTGATTCTTTTTTGAATTTGCCCTTTTCTATAGTCTTTGTACTTCCTTGGACTTTGAGTCTTTTTTTTTTTTTTTTTTG